CCCGAGTCGAAAAATAAGTCGTTCCGAATCTTCCTCGAGTCTTCCAAGTTGCTCCGATATTTCAATGCGTCCGTAACAACACGCGAAGACACAGGGAAGACTATAGTCGTCTCCTCCTCGATAGCCATAAAAATTTTGAAGACAAGAGTCTTCCGAAAATTGTTCTGATGTTGCACTTACTGGACTCATGAAGACCGAGGAAGATTTGAGGAAGACAAGAATTGTTGTGGTTTATGACCGTTGGAACGACAACGATCGTCCTCTAGTCGTTCTAAGTCTTCATTTTTGGGGGGATCGGTCAGTATGGCTGTCCTTGTCTATTTTTATGGCTGGGGACCGTAGGTCCCGTCGGGGGGAGCAGGGGGAAGAGGTTCTATCAATCTCTGGTAAAAAGAAATCAAAATATGCATAAAAAATGTTCGATTTATTGCGTAGATTATGTAACTGTAGGCTTATTGATATCACATAAACATAATTATACATTTTAACAAAATTTCATTGCACCAATCATACATTATGCGAAGTTTAGTACAAGTGTCCCAGCTATTATTAAAATAATAGTCAGATATATGTGAAAACTTGAAAAGTAACTCCATTCATTGGAGTCCCATAGAACTATCATGCATGTTAACAAAATTTCAATGGGATTTTCTTACATTCTAAATAATTACAGATAATTTCTCGATAATATCATTCTTGAGGTTGATTACATTGGAAGACTTAAAGAGTAAGTTAATCGATATTTTCGGATAATTTTTCTATACATGCTAGGTAATAATATTCATGTTGACTCTTTAATTCCAAATATTATAGTGAGAGAAGAGAATAAGAAATTGGGTTAAAATGCGGATTTACAATTTGTTGCGATGATTGGGAAGTCACAGACGCATTGCTCGGTGAAATTAATGAGGAGCACTGTAGATTTAAAGTAGCGTGATCCTTATGAGCGACTGGGTGCACTGCATTACCAGGTGAATTGTTGGAATTTCTTGGAGATGGCAATGTTTGTGAATTGGAAACCATGCTTTCATCTAGGGTCAAAGAAATTGCAGGCCGAGCGATAGTACCAATTTGTTCAGATATCTTCATTACTTCTTGTCTAGGTATGGAAGAATTGGAATGACTTTGGACAGCTTTTCGTTCCAGTAACTGAGAAGCAGAAGGGGATGGGATTGAGGGGGGGATTTCTTGATGTGTTGATGGCGGTGCTGATGTCGTCGTTGGTGAGGGAACGTGTGAGAGAAAATTAGGGATACTAGTGGTGATCATGGTGTGCATAGAATTATTAGATAAATAACCAGAATTTTCTGGATAGTGGAAACTTTGAAAATTAGCAGAAATTCTACCACCAATTGCATTCTGAGGAGGTGCTTGAGCATGTGGAGGATGTTGAAACGGAGAATGAGGCGTGACAGAGGATAGTACATGGGGGTGTCCTTGAACATTGGGGGATTGCGGAAGTTGCATCATTGCTGAAGAGAAGTGCGAATTAAAATGAGGCATACCGGGTGTGATAATTGATTGCGTTACATAGTTGGTTGAGGGAGTTTGATGATTCGGCAATTGAAAAGACTGTGAGGCAACAGGCATTTTTCTATATTGTGGCAATGGATTTGCGGCTTGATAGGGGTTAGTTGGGTAAAGAGGACGAGGATCAGATAAAATTCCGTCCCCGAAACTTGAGTGAGTAATGGTAGATCCTGAGCAATGTGCCTGGGTATGCGTAGGTAGGTGTTGAATGTATGCTGGTCGCTGGACAGGATGAGCCAATTGTTGACCATGTGGAGACGGACGAGCATTAGGAGACCTTGATGGAGTATCTCTTGGATCCAAAGTGATAGGCGTTATCATAGCTGGACGTGAAGTTACAACCAAGTCTGGGCGTGGAGGAGATGCTGTCACCTGTGGTATGCGAGCTCTTTTAGGCTGAGGTGGCTCTCCTGCATCAGCTGTAGATGGTTCTCTCAATTTTCGCTTTGGCGGCCTTTTGCGATTGGAACATGCCTGCATCACTGCTTTTGTAAATTTATCGATAGACACGTTTTCCTTGGAATGGAGATTCACGGGATCTGGAAAAAAAAACCCTCTTTCTTAGAATGTGTTGGGAATACCAGAGCTAATCATTATATTTTCATAACGGAATACTTACCAAAAATTTCTTCAAACACGCGGTGATCGACAGATACAGTGCCCCTAGTGCCTTTAGCTGTTCTTGTTTTCAAACTTTTACCATATATCTCCACCAGTAAGTTGACTGTAAGCATTCGCCATTTGCCATCCTTTTTATAATCATTTGTGAACTTCTCTAGTTTTGGTTGGCAAATATATTGAAGAATCAGGGAAGATTTCACTCTGCAGAAGAGTACAAAATAGAATAACAAATTGAATATCGACTTGAACTAACACATAAAAAATAATCGAGAATTTTGCAAATTTTCATATAGAAATGCAAGCGATGCTCAATCGAATATATCAATATGTGTAATATTCTTGATCAAAGGATATTATGCCTCTACTGAGCATATCACAAAAAATTAAATCGGATGTATTATACTCTAATCAGAAATATGAATTTTTTTTAACGGGGAGTTTTTCACTCATTAAAGATATTATGGTAGGGTATGACTATAGAGAGAGTTGAATAAAAATTTTGGAACTGTCTATTACCCCGTCTACAAAATCTAAAAAAAAAGCACGTATTGAACAATCATGGAAATTAATTCTATAATTTCTATTTATACGATATACTATTTATAGGATCATCAGTAATGTACCAAAAACACGACTGCCATCGAAGTTCCATTCAATCTAATGTATAAGTAGCAACTTAATAATTATTTTTTGTGCTTTTTTTCAATATCCAAAAAATTGAAAAAAAAATTCTTACTTTTTCTGATCCCGGAGTCTTCATAGAGTCAGGCAGCTATAGAAAAAAAAATGATAATAATTGTTAATATTACAATACCAGATATTTTCTATAATAATATCACGGATCGTTTTCCTCTCTACCTGAACATGTGCTGCTATATGACCGCGTTTTAGTTGTTCCTCATACGCTTTTTGCATAAATGTCATCCACTGGAATACTTCTGGTGTCACTGGGAAAATTCATGAAAAATTAAATTAGAAAAATTAGGGTTATCAATTTCATATTTAAGGTAGCTCTACAGTGTGAAAAAAAAATCAATACAATGAGAATTGATGAATACTATTACTTTATTTTTTGGTTATTTCATGTAAAATATTGAAAAAAAAACATTTTTTTTGCAAATGAAATTTTCAATTCATCTTTTCACGGTTAAATATCAAAACATGAAGAATGTTATTGACACCCAATAGGAAATCGTTGATTGATTTTCAAGCACGTTGAATTATTTATTTATAAGAAGGAAATGTTTAGAAAAATAACTCTACGGTTGATAATGTGATTTGAACAATACTGATTAAGTAAAATAGGTTCCAAGTTTCATCTTACCCAATTTTGTTGTAAAATTGGAGAATTGAAAATACCCAAAATTATACCGTGGCTAATACGAAATTGTTATTGACGATAGAACTACTTGAATTACCTGGAGGAAGAATATTCATTTCGGGCGCGGAAACTGCGTGGTTGTTTCCACCATCCTCAGGACTCTCCATGTCATTATGAATGTCTTCATTACTGCTTTCGTCTGAAGTCTGATGCTGCAATTTCACGGGCTTTGTTAGTACTTCAGCTCTCTTAATCTTGATTTTAGAGGATGCTGGACGACTTTTCTCGACCTGTATAACACTTGTTGAAGCTTCCATGATATCCCGACTGTGAAGGCCACCAACGGAGTTTTCCCCATTCAATTCAACTGCCTTGGATTTGAACTGATCGGAAAAAAGGGATTTACTTCCCATTATTTCGAGATCTATCTGACGATTTATATCGAAACAATTTTTTTTATTTCTTTCTGGATCGCTCGTACTTTCTGTTTTACTAGTGAAACCTCAGGAGTCTGTGCTTTATCTTCAGGGGGGATCAAGTGGCCACTGGTTGAAACACCCCACTTTTGTAGCTCTTCAGATGATTTTGAAAAAAAAAAATTATTCACTTTTTTTTTTAAACCTCACGCGCGGCTCCATCCATGGTGTCAACCCATTCAAATGTAAATGCTTGATTTCAAATTGATAATTTTCAAAACTATGAAGAACTTTTATAAACAAAATTGTAAACCGGGATATTGCAGCTTTCATGAGATATTCGTTTCATAATTTTCCACTCATTCAAATACTAAAAAGAAAAAAAAATGGAACAAAAGTGAAAAATTGAAAAGGAAAAATTTTTCAAAAAGAGATGGGAGATGACTAATTAAGGATATCGGAGTGGTTCGTTCAAGTTAGCAATTTTTTTCCAAGCAAGATTTCAGTTTTACCCAAAATCTTGCCATCCCCATACTTTTTCGAATTTTTCATTGTTGAATTAATTTTCGGGGGAATTTCTTCAAACCTCTAATGATTATACGGCAACACTGCACATGTGTTCCATATAACCTCGTCAATTCGGTCCGAGTAGTCACTTGAATGGAGCGTTGCCAGACGCCAGGGACGCGCGGATTCAAACCACCCAATATGGCCATCGGGCGAATCGAGAGGTTTTTAATTTAATTGTTTTCGATTATTTCTTCGGAAACTTATATTTTGCAACATCTTAAAAAAAACTAGGATAGATAACGAAAAAAGTTATATACGGTTATATGTACGAACAAACGCTTCAACACTCCCAACCATTGGATTGAAGATGCGAGTGTGGTGCCCTTATGGCTACTATGTATTGAATTTCCTTCTTCAAATTTTTTCTCCTCAAATAATTGTTCGGAAACTAAGTTCGAAATTGTGCTCAAAATTAAAATTCAACCCTATTCTATGAATTTTGAGAAGGATTTCTTAAAAAAAAATCATCTGAAGTACTTCGATATCCTTAATTTTATAATCTAATTGAGTCATTTGGTATTTTTATAGATGGGAACTTTTAACTAAAAATCAATTAATATTCACAGGCACTTACCTCCAATTTTGAGTACTCTAACACTGTAAGTTTTAGATGTCCTTCCCTCCTTCCACGATAATTTCGTATCGGCATTCTCACGGCAATCTTTCTTGTAAATGCTTGATAATGAGACCACATCACTTTTTTTCTCATCTTTCCAGAAAACAATCGCAAACATTCCCACGAAACTCAGGAAAACTTCGATAAATAATTGAAACTGAAGAGAAGCAATGCGTACCTTTCGACGGTCATTGGTAAACTGAACTGGAAAATATCCCTTCCTTGGTATATTCTAGTCCAAAAAGTATATTTAGTTGTGAAGAAAATGTACCCAAACCGTTGCACCCCTTATTTTACCACCCCTTCTGGATAAAAAAGGGGAATTCCCCAAAAACAATGAGGTACCGTTCCGTCTCCAGGTACCATTTTTATGATGTGCCAGACACTGTGTTATGTCCCCTGACCGTCCGAATTCGGCCGGTCCGGGACCCAGGCTAAAGAGCAATTCCAATATATTGGAATCCTGTTAAAATATTGTTAAAGAACTCCATTGGTTTTCTGTGTCAATTCTATGAAAGATTGGGTTCCTTATTAAATATTTGATTAAAAAGAATTTATTTATTAATAAATAGGTTTTGATTTTTCTATGGGAATACATTGATTTTTATGTTACTTTTCATCTCCGCATATAAAACTTTTTGAGAAAAAAAAGTGGCAAACATCGTTTTTGATCTGAAATTTTGTGAAGTAGCTAAACACTATAGCCATTTATTTCTCACATACTATTGCATTTTCCAAATCAGTAGGATAAAATTTGGAATTTTAGTTTGAACTCTGAATGCGTTGAACATAAAACTAGGTCAACGTGGCGGGGTCCTGGCCAGTTACAATGGATCAAGGACAAAGAAAATGTACAACGAGATGTGGGGATTAATTTTGCCCGCTGGTGAGTCATTCATACCTGCCCCCCCCCTGTCCATGAAAATGAAAATTAGGCCAAAAATGACATTGAGAGCATACAACATAGCAGTATGTAATAGTGTTTCATTTCGACCAGTTTCAATTTCCAAGCTCGAGATTTTTCACCAATACGTACAAAAAAGTATTGTCATCGATTAGAAAATGATTTCCCCAATAAAAAATTGTGAATAATAGTTCATCATGCGAAAAGCTTTTCGAGAACTATCGAAATCAGGAAAATATAATCGTCTCAGAGCTCTACGCCAGGATGCAACGAATCCTCAAGACACTTCAAATAAACGACCCCGGTAAGTGACTTAACATTGACACCCTATTAGACTCTCATTATTTCTGTAAAAATTTTACCAATCGGGAAATTAACAAAGCGACTCAATTATTGCAGAGCCGAAGCCGATATAGAAGCGTATGATTATATGGATATCCCCGCAAACGACCTCAATCCACCGCATAATTTGAATCATCGAGAAGGTTCCGATACTGATGTCACAAGTGAGATGGAAGAAGAATATGGATATTCTCACAACGATATTCATCATGCTGATAGTGAAAAGGAAGATTATGGAAGTAACTCTGAAAATTGTGCAAGTGATACCACTGATGATGATGAGGAGGACAAAGATATGGCGAGCTGCCCCAATATTACTACTGACGAATTAGATATTGATAGTAACAATTTTGATGTAAGTGATTATTAACATGAAGAGAACGAGGAGGGCACTGAGAATGAACTCCCACGCTCACGTTACAAAGAACCTTTATACCGTGGGGCTCCATTAACTATTGAACATAGTTTATTACTAGTACTTGCCCTCGTCTTGAAGCACAATCTCACTGGTTCTTGCATTGAAGATATATTGACTGTTATTCACTTGCATTGTTTAGCACAGGATTTGAAAAAAATGAGTTTATACCACTTCAACAAATATTTTTCTCTCATCAAAGCAAAATATTCGAAGCATTATTATTGCACTCATTGTTTGTTACCTTTGAAGAATGAAGAGGAAAAATGTCCGAAATGTCCTCCTGGTAAAAAAAATTCATACTTTATAAAACGTTCAATTCCATCGCAAATAAAAGAAATGTTGAGTCGAGTAGGTTTCTATCAGTCATTACAACATCAATTCAATAGACAAAAAAAGAATAATAATAATTTTGAAGATATTTATGACGGTGAAATGTATAAAAATATCCAAGACCAAGGTTTTTTGCTGAACGCAGGCGAAATTTCGATGACATGGTACACTGACGGAGTACCTGTTTTCAAATCTTCAAATATAAGTATTTGGCCGATATATCTTCGAATTAATGAATTACCATATAAAGAACGAATTTTACGTGAAAATACAATTATTGCTGGTTTATGGTACGGACCGAAAAAACCCAACGCGAAAATATTCATAAAATCCCTCTATTCAGATTTGGAAGAATTACGGCGAGGTATTCAATGCTATATTCCAGGGAAGCAGCTGCCTGTGAAGATTAGCGCTATTTTATGATGCGGAGTATGCGATTTACAAGCAAAATCATTGTTCTTGAATATCAAATTATTTAACGGCGATTTCGGTTGCTTCTGTGAAATGAAAGGGCATACTCAAAAGTTACCTACGGGTGGTCATACACATATATATCCATATGAGAGAAATTTTATTTTGCGAAATAGAGAGCGAACATTGAAATGGGCTGAAGAGGCCAGTCGCATCACCTACGAAAAACAGAAACCAGAGAGTATCAGAGGAGTAAAAGGGGTTTGCTCTTTGGATCCCCTGATGCCAGACTATATCGCAGGTTGCGCAATTGAAGTATTACATGCTGTTGATGAAGGCGTCTTCAAAAAATTATTAATGTTGTGGTGTGATTCCTCCTTCACTGGACAGGGATATTCTTTGCGAAATTTTCTCGGACTTATTGATGAAAAGTTGAAGAGTATCAAATTTCCAAAATTTATTCATCGTAACCAAAGAAAAATTTCAGAATACGTGCATTGGAAGGCTTCTGAACTAAAAATTTTTTTTTCTATGTCGGCCCCATTGCTTTGTCTGAATTCATGAAGCCTCATCTTTTTGTTCATTATCTTTTCCTTGTAAAAGGAATTTCTCTGTTGATAAGTGATAGTGTTTCTGATGATGATATAGAAAATGCAACTGGATTTTTACATCTTTTTGTAGAGGATTTTCCTAAATATTATGGAGAAATGCACTGCTCAATTAATTTACATATATTGTTACATTTACCTGAATGTGTAAAGCGTTTCGGACCACTCTGGATCTATTCATGTTACACTTATGAAGATATGAATGGTCGTATTCTCAAACTAATCCATGGAACAACAAATATTGAATCACAAGTAGTGAATTCCCATGTGCGTTTGCTCTCATTCAGTAAAAAACTTCTGGAATTACCTTTTGGACCTCTACGTGATTTTGCTATGCATCGAAAACGACAAGTCCACATAAATGAACACTGTGGAGATTATTACACGGTTGGCACTTATTCACCATTATGCAATACAGATCGTTCAATATGGGAAGCTTTGGAAAATATAATTGAAGAAGGGGCAATTTTACAAAAATATGACCGCATTCTGAAAAAAGGGATGGTGTACGTCTCAGCACGTTATACTCGATCGCTTAAAACTAATTCGTCCTTTGTCATGTACAGACAAGATAACACACAGCTCCTGGGACATATTCAAAATTTCGTCAAAGTGACTTATTGCCAATGTATAAATAACAAATGTGAATGTATCGGTGAAAATTTCGCTATTCTGAGAAAAGTTATCTGCCAAAGTGAATTGACTGATGAATTTTCTCATGTAACTCTCTCTTATATTCGTAAATGTTTTATCGGAGATGAGATAATTGCAGTACCCGTTGATGATTTATTATTTGTATGTGTTTATATTAATATCGATGATCAGTCCTACATAGCACAGCCCGTAAATATTATTGAATCAGAGTAATTATGGTTGTGGAATTAAAATAACATATTAAACATGAATTAAAAGAGAATCTGAAGTTTGTTGAAATTTTTGTGAAGAAAATGATGACTTAGACTGTTAATAGTGTCGTGTTGTTAATAGCGTTTAATGTATTTATGTGGAAAATTATTGTTCAATTTTGTGATGAAAATGATGACTCAGGAATTTATGTATTTATGGAGTATTTATGTATTATAATTGATTTATTAATAGGTCGATTATTGTTCAATTTTGTGATGAGAATGATGCCTCAGGAATTAATGTATTTATGGAGTATTTATATATTATAATTGATTTATTAATAGGTGAATAGTGTTGTTAAAATGTTTTAATTATTTAAATAGACGAGTATATTGTCACTTTTGATGTCGTCCGAGGATCATTTTGTTGTGGATCATTTTGTCGCGGGATCATTTTGGGGGATCTCTTTGTTCGGGATCATTTGACGGGGATTCGCTTCGAAGCACACTCGTAAGAAATATTTTTAAGTTCCACTGACAGGTAAAATTTTTCCAAGTCCAAGTCTGTAAAAGAAATTTTTCCAAGTTCCCTCGATACGAAAAATTTTCTAAGTCCTAAAACTTTTGAATACTTTGAAGACAACAGAACGAGAACAGTCTTCATATGAATATTTTGGGTTCAATCATAAAAATTTTATGATTTTATTGATCCCCCGACCCTTTTACCTGCTTGAGGGACCGTAAACATTCGGAAGACACGAACATACAAATCAACGACTGTTGTCGTTACAATCGCGTGGTTGTTCCAAGTATTCACTTTGTTGTCCTCTATCTTCTGTGGTAGGGCCTGGTTGAACCATAACCGACGACACAAGGAAGACTCTTGTCGTTCCCGAAAAGTGGTGAAGACATGGAAGACTAAAGTTGCTCCCGAAAAAAGGGGAAAAAAATTCGAAAACAAAAGAAGTTGTCGCCTCGGAAGACACGAGGAAGATTCGGAACGACTTATTTTTCGACTCGGGAGATTGTCACATTTTTCAGAGGCGTGGAAAAAAGCAAATGTTCTACCGTTCCCCAAACCGAACAAACCGCAACTCTTTCCGCAAAACTATAGACCGATAAGCCTCCTGCCAACGCTGAGCAAGCTTTTCGAAAAAGTGATATTCACCAGAATCAAAAACCATCTTGACACCAATAACATAATAATACCTGAACAATTCGGCTTCAGAAATAAACATAGTACAATAAAAC